GAGCTACTGTGTGCTGAAGACCTGAGGGATACAAAGGGCAGGATTGCAGGGTATACCCTTTGGTTGGTTGATGATGCATGGAGGGGATTGTAACCATGGCAATGAGACGATATACAACAGAATTAATGTAAAATTAATGTTCTCCCATGTAAACTATCACATAATTCACAATAAAACATTTAAGAAAAGAAAAGAAAAAGAAAGACACTGGGAGAACAAACAAGATGGCAGAGAGGGTGCAAGTGCAGTGAAGAGCTCCGTCAGCAACAACACAGAATACAGGACTAAGCAGGCTCAGGGGATGGTGCCAGAACTCTGAACCACATATAAAGGAATATTTACAAGGTTGGAAGGCTTACAGCTAGGGGATTTGCAGCAGAAGCAAGAAATCCATTGCTTTCTAATTCAAGGTGCTCAGCTGCCATCTTGGGCAAGATCAGAGCAGCCACAGATGCCTGACAGAACCATGGAGATAAAGGTGTGGACATTCTTTTTTTGGGGGGGGATCTGTTCATTGGTCTCTCGCTGTCTGTGCACCTCTATTATGGTGACTAGAGGGGATTCCTGAATGAGTGGACACCCCAAGCCCACCCCCAGAGGGTTCTACTACGTATACGCACAGATCTCCTCTAAATATAAAGAGACAGTTTCCATTCAAAACCAAACGACCACAGCCAGCCCTGAACTGTTATAACTAGAAAAACAGCCTGAATGAGGATTGTGGATCAGGACAGGCAGACTAAAAAGGAAATAGGCTGAAAATTAAATCCTGAGTTACAGCACAACAACCAACAGTGGCATCTTGAAATTTCCAGGAAGAAAATTGAAAAGGGAAGCCCATTTCCTGATCACATCTACCTGGAGGCATTCAGAAAGCATAAAAATACCAAAATACACACCCATCTAAGTATTAAGGCCACAGATAACTCCTGAATATGCCCAAAAAACTGAAGCAGGTGACCATATCAGCACATGTCCAGAAACGAGATAAAGTGACTGAGGC